GGCATAATTGTGTCTCGTGACAATAAAACTCTAATATCCGGGCATGAAAACGAGGTGTGGGTAATGCACGGCTCACTTTTTCTATCGAGAATGTGGGACGTAGGAACAGAGAGTAGAAAGCGGAAACTCGGTCGGTCGCCGAGTTTCCTGCGCAAACTCTCTTTCCTATCGTTGAAAAAAAAAGCGTTGCATCGTTCTTCATTGCTCTTAAAATTTTTTTCCGTCAATACTGACGATTATTTCTTTTTTCGACAAAAAATACCATCTTCAAATTTTTTTCACCAATATTTTCTTTTTTTTTTTTAATATCTTTTTTTGTTAAAAAATGGATAATGATATATGTACACGGTTCTCGAATTTAATGATAACGAAACAATAAAATTAATTATTCGAAAAAAATTGTTCTTAAAATGTAATCGAAGAATGTATTTATAAAATTTATTGAAATGTGAATACAGATGCGTATCTTTATATTGTTTTTCGATCAAAAATATTTCATTTTCAGAGCATAATAAAGTATTGAAATTAATCATACGCCAAAGTTAAACGAACGTAAATTACATAAATATCATAAAAATTATATTTCAGGATTTATATTTGTATATTCTTTTTTTATGTATGTATATAGTATAATGTATATAGTATACATATACATAAATCAATTTTAAAATTTATATTTTTAAAAATTCTAGAAGAATATAATCGTAATTAAAATATATATTAAAAAAGATAAGAAATTTCAGTTTTATAAGAAATTAAAGAAATGAAAGAAAATTTATTTGAAATTTTATTTATTTATTTTTCAATCAATTTTATATATGCAATTGAAATCATATACTTATTAACTGACTTTTATAATTATGATATTCTCATTTTCAATTTCAACTAATAATATTCAACATATATATTTTTGATACAATATTATGCAGGATAATAAGAATTCAGAATTTTAAGAACAGATGATACATATATATATATATATTAATACAAAAAAATATCCTAATAATATGAGTCTGAACTTAATATTTCCTTAATATTTTTAAAATTATAAGCAATTTTTTACTTCTACATCAAATCAAAATAATATAATAAATATATATTATTACATATATATATATTAAAATGTACTAAATTATTGATATGATATACAATAATGCATATTAAATCATTTATGATATTGTAAATCAAAATGATCACCATATCAATAGATAAAATATTCATAAAGATTTCCTAGAAATTTTATAGCAAAATTGAAATCATTTTTCGAAAAATGTGAAAGAGAAAAAAGAATTTTTTTTTAGATATTCAATTTTTCTCTTGCATATATGTATACAATAATTGTCAATATATTCAATTGGTTTGGATTTCGTGAATTTTTCACAGTTTTACAATTTTTTTATACTTTTTTTTTTATATTTATAAAAAAAAATCGATTTTCGTCACTAAAAACTCTCTTTCGATTGTTGGCAGTATATTTGTTAAAAATCATAGAGTAATAAATATATATTTACAAATTATTATTATTATTACAATTTGAATCCAGTTTTTGTGTAAATTTATGTTATAAAGCTTTCAATATTTGATATTTGGTTTAAATTATATGTACGGAATCGTAAGCGACAAATCACATAGCAGTCTCTATAAATTGTGAATAAATATTGTGAATAAAAATTTTTTATTTATCAAATAAAAAAATACCAAAAAACAAAATATTAATTAAACATATAATTGATTTTAATTCCAACCTAAAAAATTTGGAACTATTCATATTTTTAATTAAATTAAAAATTTAAAAAAAAATTTTGTAAATATTATAAAGATAACTATTATTCTTTTTAATGATTATAATAATAAATTGAATATTTTTAATGATTAGATAATAAAACAAATGCAGATTTTTCACTTTTCTTTTTATACGATTATAATAGATAACAAATAAAAAAAAGTTACAAGAATTATGTGTCGATGAAGCAAGAATTTATATATAAAAATAATATAAAAATAAAAACATTTTTTGCAATAATTGTTTATTATGAGATTATGTATGTATGTATATATCATAGGTATTTTTTTATTATATGACAGTTAACATACAATTGTCACGAATTTTTTCAAAATATATTTCCACATATTCCTTTTGCATACAATTACTATTCTCATGCATATTTTTCGTTTATTTTTTTATATTTATCAAAATCTATCATAGAACATCCTTTCAATTTTGAAAATGTTAACGATATCTTCAGAGTTTGTTAAAATTAATAAGAATATAATTTCTCAATAAATTATCATATAATTTATCTATATTCTCGCTATTGACTATTATTTAATTCTCACTTCGAAAGAATCATTTTGAAAGTATTCAATCGTTCCACGTTACTTACAATCATCGAAAATCTCCTCGAATCACGTATACAACTCCTCTTTCTCTCTCAAACCATCAGAATCTCGCTTATTGAACTTCCGTGGTGGATCTGGTCGATTGTTGTCGAGCTAACTGGCACCCACGTTTTCCGTGGAATCCCATAAAAGAATGCCGGGACACGAAACCGTCGAGTCATGAATAGATGAGAGCCAGATAAAAATTGAAAAGTTCGCCGCCTCTCCATAGGGATCCTGTACACAGACTAGAACACGAGAAAGCCCGCCACTTTTGGCTACTTCTGACCCGTGCAGGGCTTATACTTTCCCTGTTCTCCTTTGCGGGATTACGTCGCCGGGGTTCATAACCGGTGCACATTCAACTACGAAAACGTTTCAACCGCGATTTCCGATCTGGCCACAGAAGAAAGAACCTCTTCACCGCTCTTGCGGTTACCATACTGTAGTTTTAATCATTTCCATGCGATCTACGCTGAAAGAAAACGAGATACGCCTCGTTGCTGGGCTAAAATTCGCTCTTCTCTCCTGGGAGGTTCATTTTAAAAAGTTTCTTTTTTTTTTTTAGAGAAGATATATAGTGTTTTATCAAATCAAGAAAGACAGAAAGAGATTCTCTCTTTTTCTTTTTTAATTTAATTAACGAAACTGAGATAAATTAATTTTTTTTATAAAGAATTGGAGATTCTTTTCTCTTGTGTGGTATAAAATTAATATTGAAAAGATATGTCTATTTTAATTTTGACTTATAGTTTTTTAGAAGAAGTTCTTAATTCTTGAAATTAGTTAATTAGGAATTTTTTTGTTAATCAAGCGAGGTTTTTAAATAAATATAAATTTAATTATATACAATATAATTAAGAAGAAGACATTACTTATTATTTATATTATAATAAGAAGACATTACTTATTATATCTTATTTATATTGTATTTCATTTATTGTATGATTTTCTTTTGAAAAAATATGAGAAGAAAAATAATTATCAATATCGTATTAATAAAATAAAACATTTTAATATGTAAAAATTATTTTTTATTATAATTAACATAATCATTTAATTAAATATAAGAATTATTTCATATGTTCATAATTATTAAAGATTAATTATTAAAGATTTCACTCTAATCCACTCCATTTTTTTAAAAAGTTTTAATTTTAATCCTAGAATAAATAATGAAATTATTTTTCAATAGAATTGATCAATTTAACTTCTATGATCCAATATTTATATTCACTCAAAAAAAGAAAAATCAAATTGAATTTTGATTTCTAAAAAATTATCTATCATTAATCTTTAAATGAAAAATTCATCTATAAAAAATATAAAAATGCAAAAAGCAGAGGTACAGAAAATATCTAAACTAAACTATACATTATAATACTTAAGAAATGAGACAAATCCTTATGCTAGATCTATTTCAAAAAAAATCTATACATATCACTATCTATATATCAATTTCAATTTTTAAGAAAATTAAAAAATTATCTCATAAATTAACAGATTTTCAAAATTAATTTTCTAGGCAACCATCACCAGGATCCGGCACAACTGGCACATCCACGGTTTCCTCGAGCGCCCCCGATGGAGAAAATGGCCAAAGCATCAGTCTATATCCGGTGGGAAGCGTGGGTCCAACATCAACGAACCCAACAACGGCTACACCAATCACGACCACAGCGACAATATCACTGGCCACTCCTGGAACCAGAACGCAAGAACCTGGACCCAGTATCACTAGAAGCGTGTCAGCACCCACTGCACCTAGGCCAGTTGTCCAAGTGGCTGCCAGTACTTCCAGCAACAATGGCACACAAAAACCGAGATTGAGAAGGACTATGAGTCGCACTGAAGCTATCAGGAAGTTAGTTCATATGATTATATGATATTTTTTAATACGTTACAGATCATGATATCAAATCTATATAAGTATCCTAATAATTGTCATCTTAAATTTATTATATAAATACATAAATCATTTAGAGTATTCTTTTCTCAACTTGTTTTACTGGCTCAATATAATTTATTTTTAATGGTACTATAAATAAATATTTATAATAAAAAATTTTCAGAAATCTGATAATCTATAATTATTATATATAAATGAGTAAAATTATATAAATTTGAAAATAATTTCTGCATGTGTAATGTTTTTAAATTAAAAATGAAGTTTAACAGCTTAATATTGAGTCATAATCTATAGGTTGAAAAATGCTTAAAAATTATATTATATCAATGAAAAAATCGTCATATAAAATCTTTTTTATAACAGAAAAATATTTATTTATGTGTTTTGGATATGAGAAATTAATTAAAATTTATAAGCAAATTGAATTTTCTTATAACTGCAACCTAAAAAATTGTTCATTAATATGAATATATTATTATCAATATTATTATCAATTCCAATATTGATGATCATTATTATTATAATTTATAGATCAGATAGAAAAATTACCAATTTATTTTTAGCATCAATTTTCTATTTTCTATTTATATAATCTAGTTTTTAAAATATATAAAATCAATTAATATGATACCAATTTAAAAATTGAATATAACATAATTAAAAATTAAAAATATTTACAATTTTAAGAATCAAAGGAATCAAAGATTTTTTAACTTATTTTTGTAAATTTATTATAAATATTAAATTAAATATAATACTCGATGATGTTTATTATCTCTTAGGGTATTTATTATCTATTAGGGTAAAATAACACAAATTTTATTGGAAATATTTCATATATTATAAAAAAATAATTTTAAAAAATTGTCATCTCATTCTCTTTCATTTTCTATTTGAAAAAAAAATTTATTTATCATATTAGTATATATATATTATATATATATTTAATACATATATATATATTATTTATCATATATAATATATAAAAGATATAAAACGAAAAATTACGAAAAGATATAAAATTAAAATTATAAATACAATAAACTACTAACTTTAATTCTAAAATAATTTAAAAAAATTTTAATACAAAAATAATAAAATAATTCTCAAAATGTTAAATTACCACATTAAACTACCATTTAAATATTACATTCAATTTTTAACGAGATTTAACACCACCATTCAATTCAACCATTATTTCCACGTAAATTTCATCAGAATTCCAAACTTACAACTCAATGCACCATTCACATAGAGGTATTCAAGAGCGTTTTTACGAAATTAATCAAGCCAGTGTCCAATCTTTTGTTCACCTCTTATTGCCCCGATAAGGGAATGGAACGCGTCGTAAATAGATCTTTTCGGCCGAATAACTCGAACGGCGCTTTATTTTCCGTTTCAGCTACATCAGACGCGAAACAGCGCAATTCTTTGGGGTGGACGAGGAATCTGAGGCTGTGGAGAGACAACGATGGCTCGATCGAAGACGGAGAATGGCGTCGAGGAAATACGGTGCCCTTGTTCCGGAACACAGACCACCGGATCCTGATATCACCAGAGACGTGCCGGATATTACGGATGTGCCAGAAGTATGTCGGATGTTTATTAACTCTGCTATGTTTCAATCATTTTTTACTCGATTTTGCGTCATTAAAAGAATTTCTTAAGTTTCAAGAGAATATGAAAGAATCATTAATCGTAATTTTATACGAAAAGCTTCTTTCAGAAGGTAATCCACTAAATTTTTCAATTTCATTAGTTCAAATTCGTTAGATACAGGATTAATGTTTGATTGTTAAATGATTTATTTTTATAAGTATGTTTAATGTACAAAATTACATTTATTAGATATTACTATCTCGATTTTCGTTATCATTATTATTAGCAAAAGATATTTGATATGAAGTTAAATGGTTTCAAATTTTGAAGAAAAGTACATTCTGATGTTAGTTTTTAAATGAATGCGTAAAAAACATATGAAGATCATTAAAAAATTAATTTCTTTATAGAAATATATTCAATTTTTATAATTAATTTTACAAGATATAAAAAATATAATATAGAAAATACAATTTTTTTTAAAATGAAGGAAATATACAGAATTTTTTATATTAATTAAATTGCAATAAAGATATTAAAAAAAAATCATAATAAAAAAAGAATATTTGATTTCTCTTTTCATAAAAGATATAGATTATTAATAAAATAAATTATCAATAAGTTAATATTACTATTACATATTCAACATATGAAAATTGAATCATGAATTTTTTGTTTTCAAATATTTCATTTCATGTCAGTTCCAATATTTATAATCATTTGCTATTTTCATTTTGTTTTCATAAGATATTACATACATTTCTTATTCATTATTTCATTTCAATTACATTCTTTATTTTGAATGAGATAATTAAGCTCATTAAGCTCGTTATATCCCTACATGGAAGATATAAGATTTTACATCCGAAGTATTAATTTTAGAATCAAGCATTTTTATTCTTCTTGATGAGTAGTATCATAAACTCTCTTAAATAATAAAATTAAATAATAAAATTAAAATATTAAAATTAAAACTTCCTTTATTCTTTATCACTCTTTACAATTCGATTTAAATTTTTTAAAATTTTTATTTAAATTATTTTCATACAGAAATTAAATTCTATTAAAATAGATTCATTTAAATATCTCACCTCAAAAATTGTTAAAAATATCAAAAAATTTTTTTAGCAAAATCGAATAAAATAATTGAATTTTAATAAAATTTATTAAATATAAGATAAAAAAAATATAAATAGAATTGCGTGTTTCTTATTCTTTATAGTAAATATTTATATTTATATTGTATATTATATTGTTAGAATATCTTCTAATTTAATAATCTTTTAAGCAATTTTATATTATGATTCTATTTAAAAAAAATTAATTTCCAAACAATATCTTTTTCTTTTAATAAAAATTCTTTTATCATCTCTTCAAACTATTCAAATTTTTATCCAAAACTTTATTTTTAATAATTTTAGAAATATTCTTCCTTTTCTTCATATTGTGAATTTTTGTGAAAATTTATTATTTTTAACGACAGAAGATAAAATTTTTTTCATGATTTATACCCGATATACTTGTCGAACTATTATAATCTACAAAGAGGCAACGTTATCCTCTCTTCTTCCAAAGTACAATTTCTGGTGTCTGGCGGAGATAAGAAAGTTTTCGTTCACAGGCCTCGAAGAGGAAAAACGTGTCATCTTGAAATATCGAAAATTATCCTTCCCTCGAAGGATAAAAATGTCATAGCATCGTGAATTTATAAAAGAGGATATCGTTCTCTTAAATCCATTACTTTATCTTTCTACTCACCAATTTTTATTAACGAATTTGTTTAATTATATTTAATTAAAAACAATTTCCTTTATTCTCTCAATTTTATGATCGAGTTTTCCAATGTTTTATTCTGTCGTTATTTATATTAAAAAAATACAGGAATAATATATGTAAAGCTAGGATATGTTTCTATTTGAAATAATTAAGAGCTCCTTTTATTCAGGGTGTTACATTGAGAAGATGGCAGCAACCTGTAAGACGAAAAGATTCCGTGGCCAGAATGACCCTTTCGGGGCTTCATTATGTCGTCGAGGTAAGTTCTTTTTCTCTTTTTTATTATTTAATTTTTACATGATATATAAATATAATATTAAATGAAAATAAACTAATATTCACGCGAATATTTGATGTTACGATAAAATTGAAATTCTATCAGAAATTAATTATTATTTTTTAAGAAAAAAATATTTCACTTATAATATTTTTTAAGATTTTTAAATTTTAATTTAATTTTTTAATTAATTAAAAAAAGAATTATCTTGCATAATATTTAGTAATATTTAATATATAAAATTTATAAATATATCATAAAGATACTGAATTTTATATAATTGTGAAATCTAGATAAAAAAAAAAGAAATAATAACAAAGAATAATTTAATATCAAGTCTTAATAATTAACAAAACTCTGATGAATGTACTATAAAGATATGAATTTTATATAAAGAGAACTTAAAAAAAAAAGGAATAATAATAAAACATAATAATTAATCAAATCTTTAGAATTGAATTTAAAAAACAGAATTTAATAATGATAGATTGACTAGAAAAAATTAGAATTCAATATTTTATTTAATAATATTTATAAACAATAAATTATAAATTTCTTTATAATTATAATATTAAAAATATAATTCAATAATATAAATTAAGAATAAATACAATGAATTAGTTAATGAAATGAGTTAGTGAAATTTTTTCATAACTGAAAAATATTTTATAAACTAAAAATAAAATAATATAAAATAAAATATCTTTGATATTTCAGTCTACATCAAAAACATTTTCAAATTTAAAATTTGAAAAATTCGTTAAAAATTAAAATTAAAGACTTATTGAGTCAATAACTATTAATTATCATATATATATTATATATTTATTTACGTATATACAATCTTTCCTTTTTAACGTTAAATCAGAATAAGAATTTTAGAAAACTTTAAAATTTCCTAAACATTATCAGAAATGAATCTATTCTCCCTTCTTGTTTCAAGCTTCTCAATTCTTTCTATCAAAGTATCATCGTACACGAATCACGCAAGACACTTCCTATTAAACGCCAATCAGAAAAGGAACCCATCCAGACATTAGATAGTCACGTTTCCTCCGACAGGAAACGAAGTATCGAACCGTTCGCATGTTCCATTTCCCGTTATTATCGATGGAGGAATCGAGGTAAACGAGTAAACAAGTTAATCAACGTTTCGTTATCATCAACCGACATACTGTTCAATCGCGAAACGGAGGCTAAGTTTCCTTCCAGATGAGTACGTAGTATGTTTCAACGGAAATCGGCGCGATCATTAAGCTAACGAGCTTACCCCTTTTCGGTTTCTCCTACATCGAATTGACTTCGATATTTGGTGAATTTTCATTTACAAATTCCTGATTTCTATCTGATCTACTTTGATTAAGAAATCCCGTTTCGTATGACATTTTAGATTTTTTATTCATTTTCCTTTTTTTATTCCTTTTTTTTCTTTTGTTATTATTTTTTTATTTTATCTTGTTATTATTTTTTGGAAGATTTTTGATATTATTATTCTTTGACCAAACAAAATACGAAATTCATTAAAAATAGTTTTTTTAAAAATATTGTTAACTCCAACTCGTTCCTGGAGCTATAGTATATAATAATAAAAATATTTATTATAAAGTTTACTGTTAACAAGTTCATTTAACAAGACGATCAAAGGCAAATAACGGTTCACGCTATCATTAAAGTTCGAAGTTACAAGTTCAGAAAAAATTCTATGTTCAAAGGTTTTTGAAAGTTAGGGAATTCTAACAATTCTCGCAGTTCTGGCAGTTCTCGAAATTCTAGTATTTTGGAAGTTCTGGTAATTCTTTAAGTTCTCATTGGTTCTAGTGTTTTGGAAAATCTGGTAATTTTCGAAGTTTTCGATGTTCAAGTGTTTTGGAAGTTTTGATAATTCAAAAAATTCTCCTAAAGACTACCCTCTAAAGCTCCCTCCATGTTCATCTCGTGAACTTGCAGGGGATATACAAGTGTCCAATAACATTGTAGACCAACTCTCTGATTGAACGGCATCCCCAATCTAAAAAAAATTCCTTAGGATGAATCTGAGAGACTACGTCATTCACATTTAGTTGTTTTCCTAAGAAGCAGTTCTGCACGTGTTTGCAATAATTTTTCTCAGATAGGATGATGTTGATGCAATAGAGACTGGAGCATAGCTGGAAATGTTGTCTCAAGATTTATATTGATCTCAAGATCATATTGATACTTCAGCTATGCCGAATTGTTTCTAAATATATAACAAAGCAAAGTTACTAAATTTTCTCTCAAAATCAGCATTGTTCTTGCAGCATCACCCTGTGCCATCTGTTCATGTTTGAACACCATCTATTCAGTGTTTGAATAAATATAAACTTTTTAAAATTTAAAATACTATATATATAAAATAAATAAAATGCAAGTTAAATCAGTTTGATATAAAATAAATAGATTAAAGTATATAGGTTAGTTTAATAAAGAATAAAAATAATTTTAATTTTTCTTTTATGAAGAAGAAAAAATGAAACTTTAATTGAAAATATAATTAATGATTTCAATATACTTCACAACATAATAAAAACAGTTATTTCTTTATAAATTTAAAATAACGAATATTTTTTTCAGAATTTCTACTGATCAAATAATTTCTATTTATCATTCTACTTTTTTTATATCCTTTTTTGCAATATTTTAAAAAATTTTCAAATCATCTTCTTTGTATTTACTTCATATAACGATTTAATATAATCATGTTTTTTTGTATCACAGTATTTCACATTTGAAAAATTACAATATTTTTAATGAATTTCGCATTGGGTTTGAGAACGAAATTTTTTCTCTAATTTTTTTTCTAAGAAGTAAAAGGAAGTATCAGTGAATTTCATTAAAGAGGAAATTGCGAGTTTTTTAATTCAAAAAGAGATTTTTATTGATGAAATTCGATTAGCAAATGTTTGTATTAAAATTATTGCATTCTTGAAAGTTTCCCTGAGATATGCTTGAAGTTCAATCACCGATTAAATTATAAAGTTGAATTTCGGTAAATGTTCTTAATAACTGAAATTCATTAATTAATAAAAATTCTTTATAACTAAGTAAAATAAAGTATTTTTACTAAGATATAATATAATATTGAAAATAATTTCGAAACTTATTAAATAATCGAAAAAAGTTTTAGACAAAAATTATATGATTTCGAAACATATATAATTTGTATATAATATATAATATGTATAATATATGTATGTATAATAAATAATTCTTTTTTCGTTAATGAATACGTAGCAAATATGTGAAGATCAATTTATTTTTTTAAATAAATTATATATTAAATGGATTAATACAGCTTATTATTTTCTTTTGTTCTGTAACTTGTGTGCAATTTAAATAATGATATGAATATGAATTGTAAAATTAATAAGACTATTGGATATTAATAATAAGATATATTGGATATTATTGATATATTGGTGTCGTATAGACATTGTGTGATATGATGTATCATAATTTGCACTTTCTATGAGTATGAATACATTTAAGAATATATTTAAACTGTCAAAAATTGCTTTTCAAAATTATTTCATCATTTTAATGGATATTATATCAAAATGTGTATTTATAATATAATTAATAGTAATTATTTTCTAATAATGAGAAATGACTGTCGAGAATAGTTTTTTTTATTTTCAAATTTTATTATTTGCATCCTACGATATTTTGATATGCAACGATAACACTTATTCAACATTAATAAACAATATATGCAAATATGCAATAAATTGACATCGAACCAATCCAATAATTATAATATATAAAAATAATTATAAAAAAATAATACCAAAATATACGTTTCTCGAAGTTATTCAACTTTTATCCAAAACATTTTTGATCATCATCCAAAATAAAAAAAAGATTCCAGATAATAAAATTAATTGAATCATTCTATATATATACATTCATACATTTCCTTCTTTTTTAATCGATTAAAATTAAGGATGAAAAAGCGTATGATGGCGAAGTTATTATTATTTCGAAGTAACTTTAACGAGAATTTTCGTTGGGCGAAACGATTATCTTTTTATTGAGAGTTCGTTGAAGGTACACAACAAGTTTCTATTGGGTAAAACAATCTCGTTTTCCATAAGTTCCTGCTTGAATTTTCATCGCTGGGAACCAACTTCAACTTATCTCGTATTTCCCTGCTTAATTACTTTTTTGACTTTGTTTCGAATTCCATTCGAGATATCTTAGCCAAGATATGAAAAGTGCTTTCGTGGGCTCTGATAAATGGAACTTTGTGCCTCCTTGAATTAATAGGAACGAAGATGAGAACAAGAAATTATTGAAAAGGGAATTGCGAGCGATTGAAAAGATATTAAATCTATCTTCCTTCTTCTATATGTAATGATATTATTTTCCCACTTTTATTATCGAAAATATAGTAATAATTTTGTTGTTCTTATATGTCGTTCGATGTTATAAATATTAATAATATTAATGTTAATTGAAATATTGAGAAAAATGATATAAGAAGGGGAACGAACATTTCATTTATTTTTAATTCTATCTATTAACAAACAGAAAAGAAATATAAATAAATTGTCGATTAATACATGTATTTTTAGAAAAAATAAGTAAATACATACGAAAATTTTATTAATAGTGAGTTATTATTTTTTTATTATAATATTTGCAATTTGGAAATATTTCTATATCATACATCACTGCGAAGAATTAATTTTTAATTGAATCTGTTTGAAAACTGCCAATGCATAAATGATATTTTAGAAAATCCAATTCGTGATATTTTGTTATAATATTTTTTTAATATTTTTGTTGCTTTTTTTCGTGTATTTTTCTAAAAATCTATTATTCTTTGTCATTCTAATAACATATTATAATATATTATATTATATTATATATTATATTATTATATTATAATCCATATTTCAATCTTGATTTCAATCTTTCTTGGATTAAAGATTTTTTTATGAGATTTATTAAATCTTTAATTT